AAATAAGCCAGTCAGGGAAAGATAAATATCCCATGATTTCACTCATTTGTGGAATATAATGAACAATATAAACTGATGAACAAAAATAGAGGCAGAGAAAAAAAATATGTTAGTGTACAATAGCAGTAATGTTGTTGTTTGCAGATTTTTAGTATTTCTGTTAACTTTTGTGATATTATACTATGTTAGTACAGTTTTGATAGTAGTATTATATTTAAAATCTTTTTCTTGAAATATTAATGTTTATTGCCTGTAACATTATATTTAAAGTTGTTTTTCTTGAAATATTGTTTATTGCATGTAACATTATTATTATATTTATTTATTTATTTATTTAATTTTTTTTTTTACTGACTTTTTTTTTATTGAGATATACTTCACATACCATACAATTCACCCATTTAAAGTAGACAGTTTAAAAGGACTTGGTATATTACAATTGATTTTATAAGTTGTGGTAAAATATATATCATTTTATTTTTTTTTATTTATATTTTTTTTTAAATTAAAGCTTTATTGTTCAGATTATTACATTTGTTCCTCTTTTTTTCCCCAAAAAACTCCCCTCCTCCCCACCCTCCGCCCTCACTCCCCACCCACTGTCCTCATCCATAGGTGCACGATTTTTGTCCAGTCTCTTCCCGCATCTCCCACACCCCTTTCCCCACCAAGAATAGTCAGTCCATTCCCTTTCTATGTCCCTGATTCTATTATAATCACCAGTTCATTCTGTTCATCAGATTATTTACTCACTTGATTCTTAGATTCACTTGTTGATAGATGCATATTTGTTGTTCATAATTTGTATCTTTACCTTTTTCTTCTTCTTCCTCTTCTTAAAGGATACCTTTCAGCATTTCATATAATCCTGGTTTGGTGGTGATGAACTCCTTTAGCTTTTCCTTATCTGTGAAGCTCTTTATCTGACCTTCAATTCTGAATGATAGCTTTGCTGGATAAAGTAATCTTGGTTGTAGGTTCTTGCTATTCATCACTTTGAATATTTCTTGCCACTCCCTTCTGGCCTGCAAAGTTTCTGTTGAGAAATCAGCTGACAGTCGTATGGGTATTCCCTTATAGGTAACTGAGTTTCTTTCTCTTGCTGTTTTTAAGATTCTCTCTTTATCTTTTGCTCTTGGCATTTTAATTATGATGTGTCTTGGTGTGGTCCTCTTTGGATTCCTTTTGTTTGGGGTTCTCCGTGCTTCTTGGACCTGTAAGTCCATTTCTTTCACCAGGTGGGGGAAGTTTTCTGTCATTATTTCTTCAAATAGGTTTTCAATATCTTGCTCTCTCTCATCTTCTGGCACCCCTATAATTCTGATGTTGGTATACTTGAAGCTGTCCCAGAGGCTCCTTACACTATCCTCGCATTTTTGGATTCTTTTTTCATTCTGCCCCTCCGGTTGGGTGTTTTTTGCTTCCTCGCATTTCAAATCATTGACTTGATTCTTGCGCTCCTCTGGTCTGCTGTTGGGAGTCTGTATAGTATTCTTTACTTCAGTTGGTGTATGCTTAATTTCTAATTGGTTCCCCAGCATAACATCGAGGGTCTCATTAGTTTTCTTGTAGATCTCATTAAGTTTATCGGCGGCTTCTAAACAGTTCTTAAAAGTGTGGTTCTGAACTCTATATCTTCCATTGACAATTTTGTCCTGTTTCTTTGTCTCCGCATTTTGTTATGCTTCCTTGGTGCACCCCCTAGTGGTTGTTGTTCGCAGTCTTGTAGGTTAGCCTTGATTGTTGTAGCTAATACCAGGGAGGGTTTGACCTCCAGGCCAAGTGGCTGTGAGAATCAGCTGTGTCAGCAGTGAGAGAACTTCTGTCCTCTAGGGAGGTGCTAATCTAGCCTTTGCCTGAGGCTATCCGGCAAATGCCTCTGTGCAGGGCTTGGGCGGGGCGGGTTGCACAGGATCAACAGGGTGGGCCGGAGAGAGTAGTTATGGCGGCTCTCAGTCCTGTCCCCAGGGGCTCTGCCTCTCTGAGTCCCAGCAACCGCTGCAAACCTCGGAGAGAAAGCTGCACTCGCTCTGACCAAAGCCAGACAGTCCCGCTTCTCCCGTTTGAGTCTGGGTCCCTAAAGACTCGCCTGTATCTGGAGCTCAGAGTCTGCGACTCCCTCCCGATTGAAAACGCCAACTGCGCCCTCCGCCGCCAGCCCGCTCCGCGCACTCCGCGCCTCAGAATTTGACTTCAGCACTGCGCCTCCTCTGAGTGTCCATATGCGTTTCTCTTTCCTCCTAGTTGTAGGACTTCCATTCAGCCACCGTTCCTGTGGTTCTGGGTGATGTCCGTTCCGTCTTTTAGTTTCACTTTTGAAGTAGTTGTTCAAGGCAGCAAACTCCAGCGTTAACCTATGCCGCCATCTTGGTTCTCCCTTTAATCTAGTTATTTTAATTTATAGTTCTTATCAACATAGTGTGTATTTTACTTATTTATCCTGTTTTCTTGGTCTGACTTCCCTGGTAGGATTTGAGCTCTACAGGGGCTGGGATTTATGTCTGTTTTGATCATTGATTACTAGTAATATATGGTACCTAGAACAGTGTATGTACATAGTAGACACCCAGAAAAGTTTTTATTGAATGAATTGGATGTAGCAATAGGCAGACTTTAGCAAAGTCTTGGAGAACAAGACTGAATATAGTAAAGTGAGAGGCAGATATTAATGAGGTAGAAAATAAATTTTAAGAAAGGAAACAGAATTACAAAGTGTACTCTATTTTAAAGAGCTCTAGCTAATATTAAAATAATTCATTTTGGGGATTAGCTAGCACTTCAATCTATTAGTGAATATATTTCTTCTTTGGCAAATAATTTCTAAATAGAAAACATAAAAGTTAAAGTGTAACAGATTTTTATGGGTTTCAAGTATAGCCCTTTAAAAAAAATATTAAAAATTTTCCATCACCTTTGAAACGCATTAAGTTCTCTCCATTCTACATCTTAAGTATCTCCTAGCTTTCTTTCCCTATTCTCAGAGGCCTTTCACAATTTATGAGAAGCACCTGGTAATTAAACCCTAAGACCAGGGGTCCTCAAACTTTTAAAACAGGGAGCCAGTTCACTGTCCCTCAGACCATTGGAGGGCCGGACTACAGTTTAAAAAAAAACTATGAACAAATTCGTATGCACACTGCACAGATCTTATTTTGAAGTAAAAAAACAAAATGGGAACAAATACAATATTTGTATTTGCATGTGACCTGTGGGCCGTAGTTTGAGGACCCCTGCCTAAGACTGTTGGCTCCTCTGATTCAAACAGCTCCTCTGTTCAAACTGTGGGACAAGATAACCTATTCTCAAGATACATTCTGGCATCCCTCTCCTCCCTGCTGTTTTAATGTCTCAGGGGTAGTTCTCACCAAGGAGTCTCTACTTAGTAGAAAATTCAAACAAGCCTCTTTTGAACTCTTCATAACTTTTGCTCTGAGCTTGTTTTATTGGGAAAAATACTGATAAGACACCTCCTTAGGACATCTGGTGGACTGTCTCCTGGAAAGCAAACAAACTCACTTTTCAAGACAACTCCCTGGTATCTGCTCACCTTCAACAAAATCCACCTTCCTTCCTTGTCGTTTAGCAACTGCAATTGCTTGCTCTTTCAAAGCAGAAGCCCCTCTTTGTTCCCTGCCCTATATTGACTAGCAATACATTGGCCCTTTCCTCCCTTAGAAAGTAAAATAAATTTCATCTCTGCATCTTTTCTCTTAGTTGTGAATTCTTTCACAGCTCCCATCGCTGTCACTGGCTAATGCTTAAACACCCTTTATGCCCTCTTTCACCTCCATCCATCCCCCTCTATTTCTGTAATCACCACTCTGCTGCCCAAGTCCATAGTTCTCTAGCCCTTTTCTATATCCCTTTACTTATCTGTGTGAACATAGCAAAGTTAATGATATCCTATATAACAAGTGTAACAACTGGAACGACAAGAGACCAGAACCACCACGACCCCTCGCTAGGCTGGCCCCGCCCCCAAGGAAGCGGTTAGGAGTGATCCAGCAGGCTGGCAGAGTGGTTAGGAGGGACCAGGTAGGCAGACAAGCAGTTAGGGGTGACCAGGTAGGCAGGCAAGTGGTTAGGGGCGATCAGATAGGCAGGATAGGGGCAAGCAGGTAGTCTGTGGATAGGCAGGATAGGGGCAAGCAGGTAGTCTGATGGCCCCTCACAGGGCTGGCCCCATTCCCCAGCAAAGAAAGAGGGAGGCCCAGGCCACTGGTGGCAACTCTGTGGCAGGTGTGTGTCCGGCCAGGAATCGCCCCGCAGAGGGAGGCTCAGACCAGTCAAGCCATCGCACCCCACGACTGTTGCCTGCAGAGGGAGGCCACCAGTGGCAAGGGAGAGGGAGGCAGCGCTGCACAGATGGCAAGCAGTAGCAGCGGTGGGGGTGGGGCCAGCTGCCTGCAGCCAGGGGAAAGAAAGCCCCGATAGGCCCTGATCTCAGGCCAGGCCTAGGTACCCTACCTGAGGGGTCCTGGATTGTAAGAGGGTGCAGACCGGCTGAGGGACTGTTCCCCACCCCCCCTCAAGTGCACGAATTTTCGTGCACCGGGCCTCTAGTCGGAGAATAAAAAAGAAAAGAAGTCAGCTACAGCTCCTAGGTACCTTGAAGAAAGAACCATATTTTAAAAAATATGATCTTAAAAAAAAAAATCAGACCTCTGGAGGGACAACTGTTTTGATATCTGTGGCAATTCAAACAGAAGATGCATTTCATTTTCAGAGCTAATCCTGCGATAGGTATTTCCTTAAAGCTGACTATGTAATTCTCTTAACTGTGAGTTGCTGATGTTTGCTAGACCCCACATATTACTGTTCACAGGAGCCAGAGCACTGCAAGTGACAGTTGAATGCAGATTATAATAGTTCTCTCTGCAAAGTGCAACAACCTACTTTCTATTCTTATGATACAAACTGCCTCTTTAGCACCTATACTTTGTCAGAAGCTTAGTTTTGAAGCCTAGGCAGAGGCACAGTGTCCCAATGCAGCTGCTTACCGGGTTGTAGCCAGATCACTATTCTCCTTGGAGCCATCTTCCTCTGCATAAAGGGAAGGCAGCGTGGAACTAGTCATCAAAGTTTCCATCTCTCTAACAGAAAGAGAGAATAAAAAATAATTAATGGCTTAATTACTTCCAGTTCAAGTTTCACTAATTTAAGAGCTAGCCTTCCTTAACTTTATCACATCAGCAGCAGAATAGAAACTGACCTGATTATTTATCTTCTTGACTCAGACACATCAATTTAAACTCTATGGTTAAAGAATGGGCTTTCAGTGGACAGAGCCTCAGCCTGCAGACTGAAGGGTCCCAGGTTCAATTCTGCTCAAGGGCACATGTCTGGTTTGTGGGCTCGATCCACAGCGGGGGGCGGGCAGAAGGCAGCCGATCAATGATTCTCCCTCATCATTGATGTTTCTCTCTCTCCCTCTCCCTTCCTTTCTGAAATATATAAAAATATGTTTAAAAAAATGGGCTTTCAATCCTGGTCTTAATCAACTAAACAGACTTAAAATAGTTAGATTTTTTTACAACCCAGACACAGTATGGAAAATTCCTTTTTTATTTATTCAGAATATCTTTAAAAGTATTCTTCATTTCCTGTAGAAATTGTTAAGCAGTACTGCAACCCTGAGCAAGTTATTCAACCTCTTTGAGATACCATCTCATTATCTTAGACAAAATTACTGACCTACACACAGGATTATTGTAAAGGATTAAACTGAAAGTGCTTCCTCAACAGAGAAAGGCTAATAGACGGTAAGTGCTTTGAGTATCTATAATAATAAAAGTGTAATATATTAATTAGACCGGACGTTCTTCCGGATGAAGTGGAGGCTGCAAGGAGGCTGAGGTCCCGGTGTCTGCCGGTGGCCAGAGGGAAGCCGGTGCTGGTAGCCTGGAGAAGGAAGGCCTACTCTTGCACGAATTTTGTGCATCGGGCCTCTAGTTATTATATAAAGAAAGGTATTATTATTATTACAGCTTTACCGGTTCTCAGTCCCAAATAAATTATCCTTAGATTAAATGATGACAAACTGAGCCCGCTAAAAGGAAATAATGCCAAGGAAGTGGAGGACAGAAGGCATAATGATGTGGTTCAGAGTTAAAGAAACCATACTTCTAGGTCAGAAATATGCTCTACATCACTATGATGAGTAACAAAAATAGATGTATCTGGGTACAGGAAACTAAGCTAACTTGAAGAAAACAAATAAATCACTAAAACTTGAGGTTTATCACACTGAGAGGATAAGGGATAGGGACAAAGAGAGTAATTTCATTTAGCATATGTGGGAGCACAGCTCCTTGGACGCCGGGTATTAGGTGGAGACATGAGAAGGTGTAGGTATATATAAGAGAAACTTTAATGTAGACCAAGTAGCCATTGCTACAGAAGGAGCCATCAAAGGAGTTCTTCAAAATAGCCCCACAGAAGTAAGCACCGGCTGGTTAGTGGCAGCTTATACACATATTCAAACAAAAGAGACTCCTGCCAATTAGTGTTATATACTCAAACAAAAGAGGCCTCATGCCCCTTAGTGACGTTAGTGCTACATTAACATAAACAGGTTACATAAGGGTGCATTTGCGCAGTACGTATATTGCTACTACTGAGTCATTGCCCTCCCACAGGTGAAGGGCAAAGGGGCCTTTCACCTAATAATACAGTTGTGTCCTTGCCTGCACGCATGCATACGGCAAATTGGCCTTGGTCATCTGGCATACTCTGATTAGGGTTCCCACATACTACAAAAATGTGTTTTTTCCCTTCAGTGCTTACCACCCAGGGCTTTACTCCATATTGCTAAAAGCAGCAGCCTTCCATTCATAATGAAAGTGATATTCAAACAAAATAATCAAAAGTGACCCCAAACATTAGTCACATAAGTGGAACTGAAAACCATTCAAGAAATAGTGCTGCAATCAACTGGGAGAACTGAGATGCAAATTAGGAGTTCACTTGGGAGCTCCTTCCATAGTTATTTCAGGTGTGGCTGAACTAGCAATCAAAAGGAAAGCACTGCAGCCTAAATAGATCTAGAATTCATCCTATTGAGGTGGAAATAAGTAAATGCAGATGGCATGGACACTCTATTCTAAATATTCAATAAATTTACTTCCAAATGAATGATTTACTTCTTATTTTTATTTTCTCATTTTTACTTCTAAATTTATTTAGCAGACCAAGTTCAATAAATAGTTTAATGTGAAAAAACTGCATCTCTGTTAACCTTCTACCCATTATAGTGGGTAAAGCATGGAAGGCATAGAGAGGAACTTCTCTTAGGCAACGCAGTAAAGAGTTTCTTTCATGTGCATGGATGCTTGCTAGTCCTTTTCAATTCCTCAAGATAGAGGGCTTACAGGGGGCTGTAACAAATCCTGCAAAAATCCATTCTAGATGTTTTCTAGAATAATCCTGACACAAGTGTACTTGAATTTTATTCACATTATACACAGGCCAGATTAGAGCCCAGGCTTTAAAGACTACTAATATAACCTTAAACCAATATTTATCTTACCAAAAGAAAACTATCAATTAGATGGCATACAAACTGCATACCAAGAGCAAACATTCAAATAGTCATATATATATACCCCCACACCTTAAAAGGACTCATTTTACTGGCTTCTTTCTAAAAGTCTCCTTATAAATATACTAGAGGCCAGGTGCATGAAATTCGTGCACGGTGGGTGGGGTGTCCCTCAGCCCAGCCTGCACCCTCTCCAATCTGGGACCCCTCTCACAATCCGGGACTGCTGGCTCTTAACCACTCGCCTGCCTGCCTGATCGCCCCTAATGCTTCTGTCTGCCAGCCTGATTGCCCCCTAACCACTTTCTTGCTGGCCTGATTGACACCTAACCGCTCCCCTGCTGGCCCGATCACCCCCAACTGCCTTCCCTGCGGGCCCAATCGTCCCCAACTGCCCTCCCCTGCCGGCCATCTTGTGATGACGTGGGGGTGGCCATCTTGTGATGCAAAGGTGTGAGGGTCAATTTGCATATTACCTTTTTATTATATAGGATGGCCTCTGAAGAAACTCAATACTCAGCGTCACTCCCACACCTCAAAAGAAGTGGACAGATTAAGGATCTTTTAATTCATTAGGACAACACTACCCTCTTTGGGTGTTTCCCAGATAGCTAGTTATTTTAGAAATATGGGGAGACAGCTGGACTACCTAACCTAAACATATAAACAGATCATATAAACAAAGGAAGTTCAGAAAACACACATTTCTTCCTTTTCCTTTTATAAACTTGGCTTCAGATGTGATTTTTCTAGTGTTACTGAATAGTCAGGTCCCTAAAAAATGAGTAATAAAGTAGGTAGAATGTTAGTGGCCAAGATTAACAAAAGAAGGAAATGAGGAATTGGTTTAGTGAAACACAAAAGCCTCTAAACTACTATAATAAGTTGGAAAATAAAATAATTCCCAAGAATATGATTAGGATCCTGTAAGACTGCTTTCATATGGTCCTTGAAGGGGTGACTTAAACCAAATCACGGATACTAAGCCACTGATTGCCAAAAGCCCTTCAGGCATCTGTGCCTGATAATGTCCCAGTAGAGAGGTCACACTGAACTTTGAAATTCCATGCAAAGCACTTGTGAAATGTAATGAATGCTGCTCTGGAAGGGGAAAGAAGATCAATATGTACAAAGGCCAAGAAATATACTAGTTTGGTTCTCAACTGGTGTTTAAGTAAATGGGTATATCATGTACGTGGAAGAATGGAAAAATGGTATTACCTTGGGGTTTACACTTTGTTTTTTTTATTTTTTAATTCTTTATTGTTGAGAGTATTACAGATGCCCCCCTCTTTTCCCCCTTCCATTGCTCTCCTCCACCCAGATCCCACCCCGCCCAAGGCCTTCACCAACCTATTGTCAGTGTCCCTGACAATATCTATCTATCTATCTATATTCCCTTTGGTTAATCTCTTCCCACCCCTGTCCTTCCCTCTGTGATTCACCAATCTGTTCCATGTTTCCATACCTGGTTCTCTTTTATTCATCAGTTCATTTTGTTCATTTATTTTAATTTTTAGATTCAATTGTATTTATTGCCATTTTGTTGTTCATATTTTTAATCTTTTTTCTTCTTCTTCTTAAAGAAGACCCTTTAATATTTCATGGGCTTAGCCGGTTTGGCTCAGTGGACAGAGCATCGGCCTATGAACTGAAGGGTCCTGGGTTTCATTCTGGTCAAGGGCACATGCTAGGTTTGCAGGTTCAATCCCCAGTAGGGGGCATGCAAGATGCAGTCAATCAATGATTCTCTCTCATCATCGATATTTCTATTTCTCTCTCCCTCTCCTTTCCTCTGGGAAATCAATAAAAATATTTTTAAAACACACACACACAAAACCATTTCATGTAACGCTGGTTTGGTGGTGGTGAACTCCTTTTGCTTTTTCTTATCTGTTAGGGTCTTTATCTGACCTTCAATTCTAAATGAGAGCTTTGCTGGGTAGAGTAATCTTGGTTGTAGGCCCTCCCTTTTCATCACTTTAAATATTTCTTACCACTCCCTTCTGGCCTGTAAAGTTTCTGTTGAAAAATCAGCTGATATCATATGGGCACTCCCTTGCAGATAACTGCTTTTCTCTTGCTTTTAAGGTACTCTCTTTGTCTTTAACCTTAGGCATTTTAATTATGATGTGTCTTGGTGTGGGCCTCTTTGGGTACATCTTGTTTGGGACTCTCTGCACTTCCTGTAAGTCTACTTCTTTCACCAGGTGGGGGAAGTTTTCTGTCATTGAGAGGAAAAAAGGGAGAGGGAGAAAGGAAAACATTGATGTGAGTTTCACATACACACCCTGGCCTGGCCGAACCCACAATCTGGGCATGTGCATAGGATGATGCTCAACCAACTGAGCCACACTGGCCAGGGCAAGATTGTATGTTTTGAGAAGGAAAATCAGACATCTTTATAAAAACTCTAGTGCCGTGGACAAAAAAAGGAGCCACATATTAAACATGAAAAGCTTAGGGGAGGCCTGTGTAGTGGCCTCACAAACTCAGAGACAGAAAGTAACCACAATAGATGGTCTGGAATTAAAACTTTCTAACTAAAAGCAG